TAACATTTGTAAGTGGGCACTGAGTCTCTTCTCAGAGGATCTCCACTACACCCAGAATCTAAGTAGGGGCTACTTACATATCTAAGGAAGAGTTAATCAAAGCAAAGTCAAAGGTAGATTTAGTTCCATATTAGGTAGACTATATTATATATAGTGTCAAACAGTTCTAATATTTGGACTATTTTTCAATTAACTATTATTTGAAGTAATTAATTATGCTATTATGTGCATATCATTGTGCTGGGTTCTGTGGGCTAGCAAGCAGAACTGGACCTTGCACATGTAGCTCACACTCTAGTTAGGAAGGGAGCATATACATATTGGAAACAATGAATTATCAGGACAAAACTATTTTATCTCACTTGGGACTAACTACTATTTATATACATCTCCGGAAAGTTTGCTTGTCTTGTTTCCAAAGTCAACACAAATTAGAAGCGATATAAGCCCTGAGAGGGGGCTGGTCCCATGAAGCAAAAGAAAAGTTCTGGAGACAGTATGGAAAACCCATCAAGCAAAGGTTTATTGCTAGCACCTATTATCTCTAGCTAAAGTGCTCCCCAGTGGGTCTTTCTCCAGGAGAGCAAATCAAAGTCCAAGACATAAAAGTCCAGTGCTTGCTCATCTCCGTGCTCTAGATAGAGATATACAGAGCCAGAGAGAGATAGAAATAGGGACATAGATCTACAGGAGAACCAATGAGATATGTTGATAGTTATCCTTGGAGTCAGGAAGATCTGGCTTGCCTCTAAAATATATGGGCCGTGTGATCCTGAGCAAGTCACTTAATCTTGAGTGCTTTCACTCTTAAAGACTATAGAGCTGCCAATCTGAGTTGGTAAGAGGGAGTTTCCTTGCTTGGGAGCTGGACAAGGGTAGGAAAACAGGAAGGGAAAATCTTCAGTCTTATTTTGATAAGTAAGCATCTCTCATTTCCAGCAACCAGTTTAACCCAATGATCCACTGCATGAATTTGGAGATTTACAGATATCTTTGTCTGTATCTCAAAGACTTGTTCACTATATAACATTAGAAGCTCAGCAGTAGTGCAAGGATTGAAACATGTAAGAATTTAAATTACAGAAATAATTCCTGAGATTGCATTGGTGAAGGATGTCATCAATGAAAGGCATTTAAGTCAGAGGCTAACCTCCCTCCTCCCCATGCAAAAAAGGGCACTTAGTAGGAAAGGGAGAGAAGGGTTGTTGCAGGTTGGCACAATTATAATAGCAAGAAGTGACATATGGAAGTCTAACTATAAAGTCAGACAAAGACATTAAAAATACTAGCCTAAGAACCAAAAAAGCAAAGTAGTATGGGCTCATTTATTATAGGGGAAAGAGCCTCTATGTCCCTCAGCAGTCTCTGAGATCATCTTTTTTTCTTCAACATACATGTTGATGGTCCCTCAAATACCTTAACTCCCTAGCTCTTCTATCAACTTGACATTCTTCCATTTTATTTCAGCTACATAGGTATGGTCAGACCCTTGATCTTTCTATTACTCACCAGTATTCCATTTCCATGTTGATGAACTCTAAAATTTCTTTATTTTGATCAGAATCTTTTATTATTCCATCTTTTCCCTTGCTTTCTGATCCCTCTCTGTTTTTCATCCTTACTGTGACCTCTATTCCCTCCTTCCACCAACCCCTTGTTTTTTCCCAGGTTATTACACAGGGCATACTCTCTTCCCTTTGCCATATTGACCACTTGGTGAAATAGCTCAACTTTCCTTTACTCTTAAATCCATCAGCCCCTTGTTTTTATCTCCAGTCACAGCTTTCCAAAACCTCAACTCAAAAGCTCCCCTCTTTCAAACTTCTGTGTTACTATCAAGGACACCACTATCCTTCCAGTCACCCAAGCTTGCAACCTTGATATCATCCCAATCCCTCACTCTCATTCACCATATCTATATATCTGTATCTATCTATATCTATATCTATATCTATATCTATATCTATATCTATATCTATATCTATATCTATATCTATATCTATATCTATATCTATATCTATATCTATATCTATATCTATATCTATCTCTATCTCTATCTCTATCTCTATCTCTATCTCTATCTCTATCTCTATCTCTATCTCTATCTCATATCTATATCTATATCTATATCTATATCTATATCTATATCTATATCTATATCTATATCTATATCTATGTCTATATCTATACCATTGCGAAGTCTTGTTACATGTACCTTTATAACTTTACTTATATATGCCATCTCTCCATTTACACAATCATCACCTTGGTTATAGCTCTTTCATCACCTGAATCTGGACTATTGTAGTAATAGCCTTCCAACTGGTCTCCCTGCCTCAAGCGTCTTCCCTCTCCAGTCATCTTTGGCAGCTACATGTCACAGTTGACCTTAGAGAGTCAGGTGCATTTGAGTTTAAATCCTTCCTCAGACACTTAGACCCTGGGCAGGTCACTTAACTTGTCTGCCTCAGTTTCCTCATGTATAAAATAGAAAGACCAAGGTCACCCACTGCATCCTGGGCTATCACCAGTCATCTTAACTCTCGTCTTGCCACTGAATTCCAATGACTTTGGAGGAGAGGATGAGACTGATGACTTTGCACATTTCTGCCTCACAATTCCAATTCATAAATAAGTCAAGACATCACCCTTGTGATGTCATTGGTCCTCTTCAGTAATGGAAGATGAACATCAACAACAAAATAGGGACAGTAATAGTACCTACCTTACAGGGTTGTTGTGAGGATAAACTAAGATAACAAGTGTGAAGAGCTTTGCCAACCTTAAAGTGGTATGTAAATGAAGCTGTAATTACTATTATTGTTTCCTACAGTATAGGTCTGATCGGAGGTAGCTAGGTAACACAGTGAATAAGCTACAGGGTCTGGATTCATATTCCTTAGTTCAAATCTGGCCTCAGACATTTACTAGCTGTGTGGCCCTAGGCAAGTCATGTAACCCTATTTGCCTCGGTTTCCTCATCTGTAAAATGAACTAGGGAAGAAAATGGCAAACTACTTCAGTATCTTTGCCAAAAAAACCCCAAATGGGCTCATGAGGAATCAGACATGATTGAAAAATGACTAAACAGTAATGTGGCCTCTTCCTCCCTTTCCAGTTTTTTTTACACTTTACTCCCTGCCACATACTCTTTTCATCCTGTGACTCAGTCACAGTGTTCTACTTGTTCCTGGAGCTGAACTGTTGACCTCTGATTTCAGTCCCTTTGCATAGCCTCTCTGTCCCTCCTCACCTCAGCCTCCTGCTTTCCCTGGCTTCCTTTCAAGACTCAGCTCACATCCAGCCTTCTTCAAGAGGCTCTTCCTAGTCCTCTGGACTGATAATGCCTTTCTTTCTGATTTCACCTTCCATCTACTCTGTATAAAATTTGCATGTACTTAAGTATTTTCCTGTTTGTCTCCTCCTCTGGAATGTAAGCTTCTTGGGCACGGGGACTATTTTTGTCTTTCTTTGTATCTTCAGCCCTTAGCACAGTGCTTAATAAATGCTCATCGACTTTATGACTTGAAATAAAAACATTAAGAAAAATTTAAATTTTGCTGAATTGGTTATGCTTAAGATGGTAGAGGAGGGTGTATTTTAGAAGATTTTTGTGCACTTAAAAGAAGTGTTAGAGTTCAACTTTCCTCATCCTGGAACATGCAAAGCCACCATTGTGGGACTGTGGGAGCCAGAGTTGGGACAAGTATGACTCAGCCACCGATTGTCTCTTAATTGGCTGTCGAGCTGGAAAAACTGATGATGTTGGGTGACAGATATGGTAGAAGAGGAGGTGGTTTCCAGCTGCCAACTTGTGACCTACCACCTGCCTTGGATGCAGTCTTCCAGATGATGAGATGTGATAGCAAAAAGGGGAAGTTACTATGTATAACAAATTATTAATTATATGGTATAAAAATCTAAGTATTATAGGAGTCAGAGGGGAGAGAGGAATGAATGTAGATTAGAAACCTCAGGAAAAACCTCAAAGAATAGAGAAGCCTTGGCCTGGGTCTTGAAGGATGTAACTAGGCAGAGACAAAGGAAGATGAAAGAATCACAGCATGAATATATGAATAAGTTAGTCCTGGTAACTTCTTTCAGAAACATGGATTGGTTCCAAGTTCCAAGTAGTTTTTCAGGTTACACACACACACACACACACACACACACACACAGAGAAACTCACTCACACACACACACATATATGATATATGATGACTTTATTTTATGAAGCAAAAATGGAGACCTCTGGTTGAGGAAGGATATTTCTTTTGCAATGCCTAATTTAAAGAACACTTTCTTGAAATCAGTATTGTCTAGAAATTCTGAGATGTATGTTTTTTTGTACTTCTATGTGGTGAAAACTAATTCTTGAGTGCCAAACTTGGATTTCTTAGGGGAAAAAAGATGATTTTTTAAAATCCTTGGAAAATAGTAGTAATAATAATAATACTAGTAACTAACATTTATATAGCATTTACTATGTGCCAGGTACTGTCTTAAGTACTTTAAAATTATTATCTCATTTGATCTTCAAAACAGCCCTGGGAAGTAGGTGCTATTATTATCTACTGACTTGCCCAGTGTCACCCAGCTGGTAAATGTCTGGACTTATTTGAACTCATCTTCCTGACTTCAGTCCCAGTGCTTTATCCACTTTAACCACTGAGCAACCTAGCTTTACAAAGCAAAAAGAAGAGGAAACAGAAATTTGACATTATACAAAGTAAATAGAGAAAAAGAGGGACAAGAAAATAAGATAATTTATTATTCTCTTTAGAGGAAGAAGAGAAGAAGAGAAATATATATACATATTTAAACATAGTAAAGAGATTTTTGTACCAATCAGGTCAAGAATTTTTTTTTCGGTGAAATAAATGGAACTAAGAGAGAAAATCTAGCACCTGGCACTTAAACATCTTGCTGGGTGTGCATTGCTTACAAGAGGCTCAGAACTGTTTCTATGGCATAATAGATTTGTATATATCTTGCCTTACCTGCCTGCCTTCCTTCACACTCTTCTGCCCCACCATGGGAATCAGAAGTTGTAGCTGCTCAGTGATTCAGGAGGACAGAGTTAGACTAAGGGAAAGAGAAGCAATGATAGTACCCAGAATATTAGTAGCAAGTACATTGTCATCACCAAATAACACACTACTCTTTTTTTTTTCATTGTCATCAAGGCAAAGAAGACTACTTTCTTCTATCTTTCATAATTGCAGCAACAATCACCATCTTGTTCTTGCAAATATCCTTAGTGTTCATTTCATTCATATTTCATATGTTTAAAAATACAAAGGGGGAAAGTTACTCATGTATGATTTGCTCTTCATCTTGAACTCTCTCTGGGATACTTCTACAGAATAATATAGTTTAAAATTTTTAATGTAATTTTATTATTTGTTTCAGTTAACAAGAATTTATTTTTCTCTCCCTCCCATACCTCCCTCCTAATTGAACAAAAAGGAACAATAAAACCCTTACAGTAAATATGTACCACTGGCCAAGTATAATACACACACACACACACACACACACACACACACACACATACACACACACACATATTTCATTCTGCATTTTGAGTTACCTCTCTGTCAGGAGGTAGGTAGCATGTTTCATCTTAATTCTTCTGGAATTATGGTTTGTCATTGCATTACTAAGAGTTCTGAAGTTTTTCAAAGTTGTTTTTCTTGGTAATGTTACTATTACTGTATAAATTGTTCTCCATTTCTACTGAATTCACTTTGCACCAGTTTTTACAAGTTTTTCCAATTTCTTTGAAAACATTCATGTTGTTTCTTATTACGCAATACTCCTACATTATATACACATGCCATCATTTATTCATTCATTGCCCAAGAGGTGAACATTCCCTTTGTTTCCATTTTTGGTACTCTGAAAAGAGTTGCTCTAAATTTTTCTTTTTGCATGTAGGTCCTTTTATAGGAGTAATATGGTTGGAACAAAGGATATATATGGTTTAGCCAGATGGTACTTTCTCCTGGGCACTGTTAGATACAGAAGTAGCATTTGACATATCTCAGCAGCAAAAGATGAAGAACATAGCTGATTTCCAAATTGGGTTTTGAGAAGACTGCTTTTCTGAGTATGCAGCTAGGGATCATGTTGTGGTGTTCTGTTCATAAAATTTCACATATTTCCTCTCTTTTGAATCCTGCCATCTGCTCAGGGCAGCACAGTATATGCAACACATAGATCTGACCCAGGAAGGGCTTTTGAAGTAAAAATCCTCTTTGATGGATTTGAAAGCTACATGCCTCCCTCCCTCAAACTTTTGTTTAACATCGTTCTGGTTCTGACCATTCCTGTAATTTGGACCGGAGTGTAAGGTAAGAGACAATTAGTAAAGGGGTTTCTGAATCCCTTTAAAGTTATTATCAGCTACAGGGTTGGGGTAGGTGTTGGGAAATGAGATCAGAACATATTAGAGCTATCTCTGATATGGCAATTATAGGAGAAATAACAATGTAAAAGACACAATCAGCTTTAAACATATGTAGAGACCCTGTTGGAATATCTGGCATGCCCAATTATCCTCATAACTGTTGTGTGAAAAAAGATAGAAATAACCATTTAAAAAGTTGTTCAGTTCATTCTTTGTGTAATTTAGTTCATTCTTCTTAGTCATTCATTTTCAGTAATTTAGTTCATATTTAATTTAGCTCATTCTTTGTTGATACCTCACAACAGTTCTAAAGTATTTTCCTTCTTCTTATTAGACCAGGGGAAGCCCAATAAAATTCATAGGCATTAAAACAAGCCTAATTTTCTATCCTGAGGGTACATTTCTGGTACTTGAAAAGGAAGAGTTTCTCATAAGACATTAGGAAGCCAAATTGGATTTAGTTCCATAAGAATATGATTCCTATAGGTAGTGCAAAGTGGTTATAACATTTTTTAAAATTTTTAATCATCCAAAGATTAGATAAAGCTGAATTTTGAAAATATTCTTAGAACCTCCTTTCAAAAACCATATAGGTTTTTACCTTGTTACTTCTTACTATGTCCCCTCTATGTGGATAAAGCAATAGGGTTCTCCCCTCTGCATTGTTTTTCATTTTAGAGATAGGGAAATTGAAAATTAAAATTACTTGCTTGTGATCAAATAGAAAACCCATTATTTTCTCAGGAATCAAGAGCTTCTGCTTTTAGGTTTGCCAGATCGAACAAACCACTTTGTTGCAACTTAACTACAGTTTTCTTAACAGGAAGGTTTATTTTGTTGATTCTGATTACTTTCCAGTAGATTGTAAAACAGCAGGGGTTAAAATCTGGTAAAAATTGAAGTAGAGAAAGAAAAATGCTGCTCACATTCAATAGGTGTTCTCTGTCTTCACATGGACAGGGCCAGGTGTAGGTCTTTGTTCTGATTTGTGCAGAGACCTCCAATTATCTTCATTAATAATCATAGCTCACATTTATGTAAAGCTTTAAAGTTCACAAAAGGCTTGAAGTACCTCATACCTTCACAATCAGTCTGGGAGGTGGAGCTCTTATCCCATTTTAATAAATGAGGAAACTGAGGCACAGAAGTCACTCAGTCAATATGTGAGGTAGAATTCAAACCCAAGTCCTCCTGACTTGAGGTCCAGTGCTCTATTATTCACTATAACAGGAATCTTTGAGATCAAAACCTTGAGGCTGTAATTCCTTCCTTTCCCCCCTTATTGTAGTAAAGACTTTCCTGTATGAATATCTGAACACTGGATTTGAAAAACAGTATACCACTGGGGTTGAGGACACTGTTGAGATAGGTGAAGCTGTTGGTGACATCACATGTATGAACCATCACCTGAAGAGTCCGGCAGCTTTTTGACCTTTGGAGGGTGGTCATGAATATCCTGGCCAGAAAGCTGGGCAGAAAGCAAATCCCAAAGAGCACCACCACTATGGTGACTAACACCATAGACTTCTGAAGCTTGGGCTGTTTGTCTTGATCCCGGAGCCTCTGCTGGAGTATCTTAATGATGCCAATGTTGCAGAACAGGATGAGACTGAAGGGAAGAAGGAATTGAAGATAGAACATCACCTCCTGCCAAGTACTGCCAAAAGTCACGTCTTCCATGGGGTAGAAACTGTGGCACTCCGTGGCATTCTTCTCAATCATGGAAGCCACCAGGCTTGGGTGAACCAGTCCCACCACCAGAAGCCAGACTAAAGCAGAGATGACCTTGGCCGCGTGAGTCGAGAAACTGTTGATCTTGAAACGAGGGTGGGCTACCCTGAGGTAGCGATCCAAAGCCACCGCAGTGAGGAAAGCAATGCTACTTGTCCTGCTGAGGGACAGCAGGAAGGTCAGGATGCAGCAAGCCGTCCGTCCCAGGTCCCATTTCTTGTGCATGAGATAGAAAGTGATTTGGAATGGCAGGCACACAGATAACAAAAGGTCCGCGATGACCAGGTTGAGCAAGTAGACCGCATGTGGTTTCCACACCTTTAAGTTAAAAGTAAAAGACCACAGGGCGATAGCATTGCCCAGTAGTCCGAGTGCAAATTCCAGAATCAGCAAGGTGGCTATAGAGATCTCAACCAAGCTGTTATGAAGAGAGCAGTTCATGGGTGTCATTTCTCTTCTCCTCCTGCTGCTGTCTGGAACTCAGAAGTGACCAAATAGAGGGAAATTAACCTCTGGGCTGTATCGATTCCCACAGCATGAAGGCGATAGGTGGGAAGAAGGGGGGGGGGGGCAAGATGTGTGTAGGGGGAGGGGGAAACTGCTCTATTCTATTCTGCCATGGACAAATTTTGCATTTCTTAGGCAAGGAAAGGTCCTGAATGAAGTGGAGGACAAATTCAAAAGTAAACTAAGATTCTTGTATGAAAAAAAAAATCAGGAAATAAGCCTGCTGTAATGGCTTTTTTCCTTTTTAAAAAAGGGAAATTGTGTTTCATTTTATATCATGCTGCACAAAAACAACAACAAAAAAACTTAAGGCTATAAAGAATTCTGTGAATGTTGCAGCTGTTGAATAAGCAAAGTGGAAAATTTCAGCTTCATGAAAATCGTGTCCTCATAAAAATAGAGTGTTCTTTTGCCATACTGAAATTTGTTATTGGGCTTACCAGTGGTGCCATTGTACTGTGATGTTTAAGGGGGTCCCAGAGGTGAGCCCCACATGTGTCTCCACTCTATTGCCTGTATTACCAAAAACATGTTGTGGAATCATAGAACCTTAGGGTTAAAAGAGACCTTCGATGTCATCTAATCTAATCACCTCATTTTACAGATCAGGAAGCTGAGGTAGGGAGAAGTGATGTGAGTTTTCCCAGGGTCCCTTGCTAGGAAGTGAGAAGCATAATCAGATTTCAAATCTAGGTCTTTTGACTTTAAGTCTTGTACTTTAACAACTTGCTGGTACTTGAGCCCTTTTTTTTGGCTAGTGGTAGCATGCTAAATAGTGTCTAAAGATAATAATGTACACATTGGACTCTGGCTTAGTAAGAAAAAGAAACAAAGGTGCCAAATATCACACCCAGTAATTTCTCAGTTTATTTTGGCTCCTTTTATCAGACTTTTAACTTCCTCTATGAATGTTTACCAACTTACTGTCCATATCACAAGGACTGTTGGCTGAAGAACAAAACTGATGTGGGGCTTAGGAATATGTTAATATTTGATTAATAACCATAAGACCTAATGTGTATGTGTTTGTGATGTGTAAGTATGTGAAATGTAATCCTCTGATTAGTCAGAGAACCCTTTGTCTTTAGACTCTCTCTACATCTAATCCAGCCTGTTCCTTGTCCCATTTCTTATTCTTCTTGCCTCTTTTCTCTACTTTTCTAGTCTTGTTACACTTCACTGACCTCCACATACTGTCCAATCCAGTGACATTGGCATCCTTGCTATTTCTTGAATGTGACACTCCATCATTTGTAACTGGAATATTTCTTTCTCCTCATCTCTACTTCTTGGTCTCCTTGGCTTCCTTCAAGTCTCAGCCAAAGGAATACCTTTTATAAGTAGCCTTTCCCAATCTTCCTTCATTTTAGAGTCTTCTCTCCGAGACTACCCCAATTTATCCTGTATATATCTTGTTTGTAGGTAGTTGTTTGCATGTTGACCCCTCCATTAGACTGTGAGCTCCTTGAGGGCAGGGACTGTTTTTTGTCTTTCAGTGTTTCCCAGTGTTTAACACCGTACGTGGCAAACATAAGGAAGCACTGCATAAAGGCTGGTTGACCTGATTTGACTTGACTTAAACTCATCTCAATTTTTCTTCTGATCTCCATTTGGATGAGTATCCATGAAACTCCAGAATGACCTATAATAGTTAGGTAGCTTGTTTGCACACCAAATTAGAGTTTGGATTGTCCCTGATTCTGATGACACTACTTCTTAGAGTTTTACTATCTTAAAATATTAGTTTTATAAGTAATATAATGCTTTTAAAAAAATCTTTAATACCTCTTACTTCCATATTTTGCCCTAATTCCTCAACTCTGCCAGCACCAATCCTCCATTATAACTATTAAGAATAATCAAATAAAAGCAAATTCCACAACCCCCACACGTTTGTGTGAGGAGGTTTCTGTTTCCATAGAACCCTCCTATCCTCTACAAAAAGGAAGAAAGTGTGTTTCATCATCTATACTCTGGAATCATGATTGATGATTGCATTTAATCAGAACTCAGCAATCTTTTTGTGTTATTTTTATTCACATTATTGTAGTCATTATGTACATCAGTTTCTTAGCCATACTTTCTTCTCTATATATCATTTCAAATAATTCTTCCAACTTGTCTCTGAATTTCTCATATACATGATTTCTTATGGCATGACAATATTTAGTTAAATTCACATGCCACAATTTAGTAAGCCATTCATCAATTGATTACCTTATTGTTGTTCAGTCATTTCAGTTGTGTCCAATGCTTTGTGACCCCACATTGTAGTGGTTTGCCATTTCCTTCTCTAGTTCATTTTACAGATGAGGAAATGAGGCAAATAGGGTTAAGTGGCTTGCCCAGGGTCACACAGCTAGTGTCTGAGGTTGGATTTGAACTCAGGTCTTCCTAACTCCAGATCTGGCAATGTATCCACTGCACTTCGTAGCTGCCCTCAATTGATTGGAACCCACTTATATTCTAGGTTTTTTGTATTCGTTTTTGCTACCACAGAAAATGCTGCTGTGAATAGTTTGGTGTGTATGAAAAGTCTCTTTCTCTCTTCGGCATCTTTCAGGTACATGTCTACCAGTGAAATTACTGGGTCAATGGATAAAAATAGTTTTCTTGCATAATTCCAAATTGTTTTCCAGTGCAGACTATTGTGACAGCCTGATGGTTGGTCTCCTTGCTTCAAATCTCTCTCCACTCTAGTACATTTTCTACTCAGTTGCCAAACAGATCTTTCTAAAATGCAGATCTGACCATGTCACACCACTCTCCCCTACTAAATTAACTCTGATGGCTCCCTCTAACCTCTAGGATCAAGTAGAAGATATTCTGCTTGACTTTTAAAGCCCTTTACCTGGCTCTTCCTAGCTTTCCGGTCTTCTTACCTTTCACTCCACTTGACTTTCTTTAAAATCCAGTGACACTGGCTTTCTTGCAGTTCCTTGAATACTATGCTCCATTTTGGTCTCTGTGCTTTTCCCCTGGCTGTTACCCATGCATGGAATAGTCTCTCCTTACTTCTGCCTCCCGAATTCCGTAGTTCCCTTCAAAACTCAATTTAAATCCTACCTTCTGCAAGAGACAGAACTGGATTCCTACTGCCTTTCCTCTGACCTTGCCTCCCGTTAGTACTGTAATATATTTTGTGTATACCTAGTTGTTTGCATATTGTCTCCCTCATTAGACTGTGAACTCCTTGAGAGCAGAGACTGGTTTTTTTGTTTGTTTTTTGCTTTTCTTTGTACTCCTAGCACTTAGCAAAGTGCTGGGCGCATTGTTGTCATTCAGTTGTTTTTTAATTGAGTCTGAGTGACCCAGTTTGAGGTTTTCTTGGCAAAGATACTGGAATGATTTGCCATTTCCTTCTCCAGTTCATTTTAAAGATGAGGAAACTGAGGCAAACAGGATTAAGAGACTTGCCCAGGGTCACACAGCTTGACTTTTAAAGTATCCGAGTAAGTAAGTAGGTAAGTAAGTATCTGAGGCCATATTTGAACTCAGGAAGTTGAGTCTTCCTGATTCCAAGCCTGTACTCCTATCTACTGCACCTCCTAGCTGCCTTATAATAGGGGACATAACTGAGAGAACAATTGGATCAATTCATAACTTTCCCAATAGTATATTACTGTACCTGATTTCCCACAGCCCCTCCAGCACTGATAATTTGTCTTTTATCATCTTGCCAACTCAGTAGATATGAGTTGGAACCTCAGATTTCTTTTAATTTGTATTTTCCTCACTAGTGAGTTGGAACTTTTTTTTTCTGTGTAGTTTCTTGATAGTTTACAATTCTGTTGAAAACTTGCTCATATCCTTTGCCCATTTCCCTAATGGGAAAAGGATTTTGCATTTACATATTTGTGTCTACTTTCTATATACCTTGCATGTCAGACTTTTATCAGATATGTTTGATATGAAGATATTTCCTTCCTTTTCCCCACCCCTTGAAAGCTTCTGATTCTGTTTGCATTGATTTTGTTTGTGAAACAACTTCATTTTAAGACTTCTTTTTTTTTTAGAAAGTCTCAATCCTGTCTGTCTTATATAGAAAATATTTTAAGTCTCTTTCCTTAGCATTTGAATCTTTTCCTTTGTACTTTTCATTTTGTTAGGCTTTCCATTTTCTACTGGAATGCTTACCCATTTATAGCCTGTGTCACCAAGTGTTGCTTCATCTCTTGTAAGGACAGAATTGGAGAGTTCTTCACAAGTCCCAAGTCATGGAAATAATCCCAAAATAATAAGCCAACCTCCTTTAATGGTGAATTTGCCAACATTATATTTATCATCCAATAGGTCCTCAGGAAATCCAGAAGAAGGAATAGAGCCTTAATTTTCAGGTGTGTAATGCCACGGGGATTACCTTGTCCCTCATTGCTGAGAAAAAATATTATAAGAAGCAATCATAGACAGTATGGATAAGGGATGAATTCTTCCAAATTATAGGGCAATTTCAAAAGATAAAAATAGACAATTTTGATTGCATGAAATTGGAAAGCTTTTGCACAAAATCAAAGAATCTAGTCTGAGAAGGAAAGTAGTTGACTGAAAAAAAATCTTAGTATTAGATATCTCTGATAAAGGATGATATACAAGATTATAAATAGCTAATAGAAATATGCAAGACCAAAAGTAATTTCCCAATCTATAAGTGATCAAGAATATGAACAACTGTTCTCAAAAGAATTACGAATTAATAATAGCTACATGAAGAAAATGCTCCAACTCATTAATACTAAGAGAAATGCAAATCAAAACAACCCTGAAGCTTCACCTCACGCCTAACAAATTGGACAGATGACAAAAGACAGGAAAAGTCAATGTGGGCGGGACAGTGGAAAGACAGACAGAGGAATAAATTGTTAGTGGAGCTGTGAATTGGTATAGCCATTCTGGAAAGCAGTTGGGAATTATACAAACAAAGTCATTAAAATATCCCTATCTTTCTTCACCTGGTCAATATATTTATAGTGTTTACACAGAGAGGTAGCCATGGCACAGTGAATAGAGAGATGGCTTTGGAGAAAGGAAGACTGCTTCATGTGCCATCTTTGACTCATGCACTGTGTGGCCGTCATTTATTCTCTCAGTGTCCCAGGAAACTAAGACTAACACATCTGCACTGGTAGACAGGGTTTCCTCATTGTG